TATTGGACCCTTAAATCTATTCTGTATTTAATACAAAGGGCCATTGGTTTTTGGGACCCTTAAATCTATTCTGTATTTAATACACAGGCCATTGGTTTTTGGGACCCTTAAATCTATTCTGTATTTAATACACAAGGCCATCGGTTTTTGGGACCCTTAAATCTATTCTGTATTTAATACACAAGGCCATTGGTTTTTGGGACCCTTAAATCTATTCTGTATTTAATACACAAGGCCATTGGTTTTCGGGACCCTTAAATCTATTCTGTATTTAATACACAAGGCCATTGGTTTTTGGGACCCTTAAATCTATTCTGTATTTAATACAAAGGGCCATTGGTTTTTGGGACCCTTAAATCTATTCTGTATTTAATACACAAGGCCATTGGTTTTTGGGACCCTTAAATCTATTCTGTATTTAATACACAAGGGCCATTGGTTTTTGGGACCCTTAAATCTATTCTGTATTTAATACACAAGGCCATTGGTTTTTGGGACCCTTAAATCTATTCTGTATTTAATACAAAGGGCCATTGGTTTTTGGAACCCTTAAATCTATTCTGTATTTAATACACAAGGCCATTGGTTTTTGGGACCCTTTAATCTATTCTGTATTTAATACAAAGGGCCATTGGTTTTTGGAACCCTTAAATCTATTATGTATTCATTACACAGGGCTATTGGTTAATGTTGTTTTTGGGAGCATTTGCCCCTCCCCCCTAAAAAATTAACAAATCCTTTGCTTCAGATGGACAATTTTGCTTAGCTTCTATTATACTAAAACACTGGTGCCCCGAATAATTTAATCATTTCCTAAGCACTGTTACAACATCAACTTTAGCAGAATCTATCCTCAAAAAAATCTAACTGTTTTAACATACAAAAAACATATAACTGTTAAACTGTTCACTTATCTGGATTTCCTAAGTAGCAAAACAAAAACTCAACTTAAGTTAACTGGAATTAGCCTCTCGTTATTGCAGATTGATTAAAGCTAAACTTTCTTAACTTTTATCAGGCATTGCAGTGAATTTTAAAATACTCACCCGATTTACTATCTATAACTTTCCAATATGACAGCTATTTTATTTTATCAAAAAGATACTTCATTTTAGATATTATCAATAATAACATAAACAATTTAGCAAATCTTGTATGAGTTTTTTTAATAGACATGTCGAATGATTATGAAATGAGGCAAAATAACTCACCAAGGAAAGTTTATCACAGCTTGATTTAAACAAGAATACTGATGCGTTAAAAAGAGGAGATAAGAAACATGGCAGGTCTTCTGTGGGTTTTGCTTTAGATATTGACAGTACTATTGTCCTGTCTGTTTATACTGATTCCCAAAATATATTCTTTATAATTGTATCAGAAAATCGATATAGTTTATTCGTATTCAAAGCTATTTGCACCTGTTATAAACAATTGTTTCAGCACGGGCCTAAGAGGTAAAAATTAAACTGTCGTTGGAACCACGCCAGCTTGCCCACAAGCTAAAGTAAAAGGTCATTTTTTGAGTCTGCGGTTGAGGTAACAAAAAGTATTCTTTTCCGACAATTCTACAAAAGAAAGATTAAATCGATACCTCACCATTAATCGCTTTTTATCGCCAATTCAATTGATCAGGCTTTTATGGCCGCCCATCTGCCTTTTTGACAGCAAGGAACTTCTTTAGAAGTTGTAGGCCCACAGCTGAGAAAACTTTTTGTTGTCGCCATAGCAACAACGAGCCTCTCATTAGCGGGACAATTCAAATTGATCATCGTGGACAAGGGGAAGAGACAAGGCCAAAGGATAACACAGGCACCCACACCGGAGCCAGGGGGCTGGAGGACTGCAGCCACCTCAATTTTTTGTTGCGACATCAAAAATAATGGTGAAGAAACTACCATAAAGATTACCAATTTGTCTAGAATCCTCCCCCACGCCAAGATGTGCACTAGCATCCCTGGAACATCATATTCCATTAAAGCTAAAATAAAACTCTTTTTCATTGTCTGATTTAATTGTTTACGTTGGTAGAGCTTCAGATGAAGGTATGCTTACTCCAAAAAAGCTCGAAAGTCCCTTCAAAATATCACTTGTCATGGTCTTTTAAAGTGAAAAGGGTCCAAACCACCAAAAAGCGTGGAGAATCCCCCCCCCCTCTTATGCCCGCCTTTCTTATGAGTACGCATGTCTCCTGCCCATCCCTATGTTTAATAAAAGTCCCTCGCTGTAATGATGATGTAAAATAGTTTCCCGCCCTAAATTTTACCTAAGGACTCCATTGGCAACATTTTAAAAAAGGGCAACCTCGACAGTCACATGATCGCGTTTCTGATTGGCCTTTTTCGACCCACAACTGGGTATTTATATTTCCTAGCGCAGTCTTTTGATCTATGTTCTGACGTTTTATACTCTGAAGACTGTCAGAAGAAAAGCTTAAGTATGTTATAAAATGTTTGCTTTTTTCAAGGCTTAAGTATGTTCCTCTTGTATTTTGCGTCCCACAGAGTTTCATTTCAGTATTATTCGAAGCTTTCTCACCCGACATTTCCAAGCCCCTAAACCCTCCCCCCCTCCCCCGATCATTACATCACTCTCGATATTCCGAACTCTGCTTTTACCAACCTCTTCTTTATCCAATTGTACACCTTTTTTAAAGTCTTTTGCGCAACCAGCATGCTTTGCGACTAGATTTTCAAGACAGGCCTAAAACGAGGTCGTATCGTAGTTCGCATTGCATGAAAATACCAAATATGGTCCTACAGCAAAACACCAACTACAGCAAAGCATGCCGGTTGCGTAAGAGCCTTTAAAGAAGCACTCCAATGCTCCGTATGTATAACTACGAAGGAGCAAGCCATATCCACGTTGTTTTGTTCTTGCAACCTGCAGTTATAACAGCGTCTATCAGCCAGGGTACCTGTCGATCAATGCTTCGTGTATGGATCATCAAATTGGCCGCCAAATCAGACGTCAAATTAATATTCATTGTAAAACAATATATTATACACAAGTATTCACAACACGCTTTAGCATTGCTGTTCCACGTGTCTTAGAACACACACTGGGTGTTATTGAACTCTCCTAACGTGTGTTTTGGGTATGCTTCAAGCGTTATAAGTACGAAGCTTAGCATACGGGACAAAGATATTGCTTCCTCGAGCGTCTGACTGGAAATTCGTAAAAATCTGAACGCCGTATTCTGTATCAAAGCGCCGGATTGGAATAACGAAACATTTTCAAGACACACCGTTTCAGGCATCTTCAAGGCCAATACATAATTTGTTACTCAGGTCAACCTTCAGAGACACGAATTTAGCGTGTTTTGAAAAGAATAGCCTATTGCATGTTATGAAGGGATGAACATTTTAATGGTATAACTTACTGGCAGCCAGTTTAAAAAAGATCGAAATTGTTGCAAGGGACACCGGATCGTCGATTCTAAAATTGGTTTCATTAGATTTAGTAGAATCTTGTTGAATCAGCTTCCTGTGGATTGAAGACGAATGAGAGTAGAAAGATTTGTTGCTAGAAAAGAAACTTGTTGCTTGAAAGCAAACATCAAGACATAGCTGGAAACCATAAAGGGTCAGTAAAGTATACATTTGCTATCGCAGTTTTTATGTTCATTGCTATCACATTTCAGAAATCACAGATTGAACAATCTAGGCGTATTCCTTAATTTTGTATGAGGGAATGTGCTAGCAGTTTAAAATACTCATAGAAATCTAACTTACTTCAAGGAAATCTGCTTGTATAATAAGTTTGCTGAGAAATAGTTGATTTGTTAATGGGTAAATGTTTAATCCGCAATTTTAGAATGTATCTTATTTTGCACCGTAAATCCTTAAATTGCCCCCCCTCAAAATAGCCTCCCTCCTCGAATAAGCCCCCACCCTAGAGTTACAATTTGTCAATCAGTCCCTCCCTCTCGAATAAGGCCGCACTGCTACCGTAACTCCTCGAATTGGCCCCTCCTCGAAAAAGCCCCCCCCCCCACTCTCGAATAATCCCCTACCCTAGAACTACAAATTGTCAATCAGTCCCTCCCTCTCGAATGAGCCCTCACTGCTACCATAAATTCTCGAATTGGACCCCTTCATTTGGTAATTTTTGCCAACTGAGGTTGCTTATGACGTTTTATTGAATTACCACAATAAATTCATACTTTTGGTAGTAATTAATTAAATGCTCATAAAGTAATTCCTACTAAAATAAACGAGGTCTTTAAATAATGTCTTCTTAATGTCTACAATAATTTTATAAGCCCCCGCCCTCGTATAAGCCCTTGAATAAGCCCCCATTCAAAAATATCAAAAATAAATAAGTCCCTAGGGGGCTTATTCGAGGATTTACGGTATATGAGATAGAATAGATGACTCTGGACTCGCCAGGTTTAGCTACATTGCTCCTTTGCATGACCGACGGCCTAATCATGCGTTTTCCATTACAGATTTGCAAAATGCCAAAGCGATTTGTCCGTGAATCAAAGTTCAGACACGTGTTTGGAGAACCGTTTAAGAAAGAAAATTGCTATGATGGAATATCGATCACCAAGAATGCATGGGACGGGAACTACTGCGCGGTGAACTCAAAGTTTGTTGCTGTTGTCTTAGAGTCACGTGGCGGAGGAGCTTTCATCGTTTTACCACTACAGAAGGTAAACATTTTACGAATAATTAGCATTAATTATCATACGTATTCTTGAGTCTTCTTAACAATAGAAGTGAATTAATTGTGGGTCAAAGTTAGGCCAGACAGCTTCGATTCTCTTATGGCTTTAAATGTATTTCAAAGGGCAGGCAATGTTAAAATTCCCTTATTGATTAGATGTCTTGAAGTGCTAAAAGTGTCTTTCCTCCACACTATTATTATCAAGCAAGACGCTCAGCGCTAAAACTCTGTTATTCGAGAATTTCAACTATAACTTCAAAACTTAACAGAAATACCAAAAATTGAATTGAATAAATTAAATTAAGCATTATTTATAATTATTTTCAAGACTGGCCGAGTAGAAATTGGACATGCGAAAGTGTCCGGACACAAAGGAAGAGTTCTTGACCTGCAGTGGAATCCATTCAATGAAAACCTTATTGCTTCTGCCTCGGAAGATTGCACTGTCAAGGTAAGCCTTTGTAAACAATTGCACGCTTGGGTTGATTGATGGTAAACCTTGGTAATTGGATGTTAACCTTGGTAAACTTATGGAAACTGCTAGTAATGTATCTTTAATAATAAAATGTAATAACGTCTTAACAGGCAACTGCATGCAAGAAAAATTTGAAAAGCTGTTTCTATCGCCTTAAAGGCTCTGGTATAACCGGCATGCTTAGCGGCAGTTGCTTGAAAAATTTACTGTGTTTTGTATTTTCATGCAGTATGATATTAGGCCGGTTTTTTTAAATAAGGTCGCAAAGCATGCCAGTTGCGCCAGAGCCTTTAGCTATGCGAACAAGCTATCAAAATCACTGTTATGCTTTTATAGACCAATGCTATTGCTTCTATAAAAACAGTATTTGTCTAATAGTAAAAAAAACAGTATATAAACAGTATTTGTCTATAAAAGCAATAGCATTGGTCTATAAAACCTATATAATTAGTCTACAAAAACAATATCATTGGTCTACAAAAACAATCGTCTTGAAAAAACAAATATAATCAAATATGTTACTAAAGCTTCTCGTCTGACACTTTTCAGAGTATAAAACGTCAGAACATAGATCGAATTCTGTACCACGTAAAGATTGTTTAAAAATAATGGTGTTGGTCACCCAAATGACATGATTAATTTGTCCTAGATTTGGAAGATACCAGAAGATGGCCTAAAGAAAGACATGACTGATGCCGTTGTCGAGTTGCATGGACATCAAAAGAAGATTGGCATCATCGTCTGGCATCCATTGGCAAACAACATTTTAGCAACGGCAGGTTTCGACAAGAAAGTCATCATATGGGATGTGGAAAGAGGAGAGCCCGCCATTGTTATCGAAGGACACAGGGATACAATATACAGCATGTGCTGGAGTAGGGATGGCAGTTACCTAGCAACAACGTGTAAAGATAAAATGATGAGGATTATTGATATTCGAAAGGAGGAGATCATCGCGGTGAGTTTTTTGGCAGCCATATTGGATTTTGCGCAAAACTGTTTTGGAGTGTTTTGGAGATAAACAACTGAGGGAATATGTGTGTCGTCATAAACAAAATCTATTTTCTATTTTTTGGCTTTGAAAAATCATGAAATACCTCAAAAAGTGCGAAATTCTATAAATCTGATGAAAATTGTCTTTAACACATGGGAATCAATGTTTCTTACAGAATTTGAACGCAACGGTTTAAAAATCACAAAGTGCTACAGGCCTTTTGAGGACAAGACTGAAGGGTGTAGTGATGAAAAAGTCACCCTGTAGTGGCAAGATCATCACATCAATCTACGCGATTTAGTTTCAAGAAAAAGAAACTTGTTTTTTCCTTTAGAATACGTTCTATCTTTCATATTACTTGAAGGTCTGTTCACCAATATGTATCTCTAGGCCCTCAGTTTCTGTAAATTCTTAATTTTTTGTGATCTTATGTCCATTTTTTGCTATAGGAGCATATGGCCCATGACGGACCAAAGCAGTCACGTGTCTGTTTCATTGGCAACGACCGGCTGCTTACAACCGGGTTCTCGCGTTCCAGTGAGCGACAAATTGCACTCTGGGATATGGTAAGTTACGTCAAAGGCCAATAAGTTGAAACAATCTATTGTCTGGAACTAGAATAGCAGTTGTACATCAACCAGAGATCATCTTCCAGCGAAGGAAAACTCTAAACAACGGTAACAGTCGCTGATTGGTCAAAAACAAGGAACAAATCAAATGCCTTCCTTTCATGCTACTTTCGACCTACATCTGGAAATTTCTGCGTACCTTTAGTCATTATCCGAAATTTATACTCAGACGAGTGTCGGTACAAAAACGCTTTAGAATGTTATGGTTTTCTTTCGCATTTTTTGTCCAAAACCACTTCCATCTCCAGACAAGGGATTCCGCCTAACCATTTATGTTATAAAAAGCATTTAAAGTACACTCTGGTTGTAGAAAATACTGTGTTGGTAGTTGGATGTTTCATACTGTACAATACCTAGGCTATCAGAATGGCTGTTAGAATGATATTTAGAATAGGGGATTATGTGAGAAGATGGACATAATACTGTATAAAAGGCTCAAAACTCCCACTTCTGATAGGCCTTGTTATCATCCTGTGAAGTTGAATTACAGGTATCTTTTTCAATTAAGATTACTGCTAATTGTTCAAGCTTGATGCCGTAAAGGCAGAGCTGTACTCAGATGACTATTGTCGTATCTTTATCATATGTGTAGTCTATCTTTAGTTGTTGTTTACAATATATTCATCTTTTTATTTGTACAAAATTATCTTGCAGAAAAATTTCGAAGAGCCACTCAATACAGTGGGCATTGATACAGGCTCTGGCGTCATCCTACCATTTTATGACCATGACACAAATATGGTTTACCTGGCTGGAAAGGTATTTTACTTTGTCTCATTCAATTGCACCACCCTGTCCTGTGTCCTGTGTCCTGTGTCCTGTGTCCTGTGTCCTGTGTCCTGTGTCCTGTGTCCCGTGCCCTGTGTCCTATATCCTGAATTTTGGGTCCTGTGTCCTGTATCCTGTGTCCTGTGTTCTATATCCTGAATTCTGGGTCCTGTGTCCTGTGTTCTATATCCTGAATTCTTGGTCCTGTGTTCTATATCCTGAATTCTGGGTCCTGTGTCCTGTGTTCTATATCCTGAATTCTTGGTCCTGTGTTCTATATCCTGAATTCTGGGTCCTGTGTCCTGTGTTCTATATCCTGAATTCTTGGTCCTGTGTTCTATATCCTGAATTCTGGGTCCTGTGTCCTGTGTTCTATATCCTGAATTCTTGGTCCTGTGTTCTATATCCTGAATTCTGGGTCCTGTGTCCTGTGTTCTATATCCTGAATTCTTGGTCCTGTGTTCTATATCCTGAATTCTGGGTCCTGTGTTCTATATCCTGAATTCTGGGTCCTGTGTTCTATATCCTGAATTCTGGGTCCTGTGTCCTGTGTTCTATATCCTGAATTCTGGGTCCTGTGTCCTGAACCCTGTCCTGTCCTGCTCTTTTCTTTTTTCTTTATTTACATAAAGTTGGTACAATCTCTAGCTATACTCAAGTGATTTGAAATCAGCTAGTCTAAATTACCGACGCTAAATATAGTGTAAATCAAATGTATCCAATGTTTCTTATGTAATCCATGCGACACAAGTAAAATTGAAGCATTTTGCTTCATTTGGAATTGAGTTCCATATTAGGCTACATCTGTATGACACTGTATTTAATCCATCTATTTTGTAATATGGCTTTGCTGTTTTGAACTGGGAGTTTCGTAAGTTCTATTCCAGTTTCGATAATAACACAACAGCTTAGTTTAGCTTGCCATTTATTACAGACAAACGAACAAGATTTTATCTTTCCCGAATCAACAACAGTCGATGGCGAAGAAATTTGGCTAAGAAGGGCAAGGCACGCACAAAGAAATGGATGTTACTATGGCATCATTTCCGTCCTTATGCTACCATTTGAGGGTTATTGTAAGAAAATACCATTTAAGGGTATTTTTTAACATTTTAGCTTTGGCCCTCTTTGACCCTGACTGTAACCTCTGCTAGGCCATAATGAGAGTACCCCCCTGGGGATTGATGGTGTGCCTGAATCTTTGGTGCACCATCGCCAGGCTATGCATACTGGGTCCCTGATTCAGACAACGTTTCTGTTGTTTAGTTTAAAAGCCTTGGCTTAAGGCATTTCAAGATGATAGCAGGATGAGTTCTAAATGTCATTCCTTTCAGGGAGATGGAAACATTCGCTACTTTGAGTTATCAGCCGAGGCTCCCTTCCTTCACTACCTTCATGAATACAGAAGCTCGTCTCCACAACGAGGCGTCGGTGCCATGCCAAAACGCGCCGTTGACGTCAATTCCTGCGAAGTGGCAAGATTTTACAAGCTGCATCAAAGCGGCCTTTGTGAGCCCATATCGATGATTGTTCCGAGAAGAGTAAGTTTTCTACACAAAGATATGTAAATGGAACATGCCATGCGCACCGGGGGTGGGGGGGGGGGTGCGGAGGGGCCATGGCTCCCCTTTTTTGGTAAACAATAATATTTCCAAAGAGGCCCTGTTTTGAAGCACCAAGTTCAAGTTCGACTTAAACAACTTGGCCCCTCCACCTTGAAATTTGTAGCGTAGGCCCTGATGCCTGCTAATAGTCATAGTTTTTTACACTAAATTTTTAGCGCATCTAAACTACTTAAAGGCACTTTGTCCCGTCAATCAACCGTTTACAGTTAAAAATAGGCTTGAAGCTCGTTCATGATTGATAAAACATCGAGAATTAGCCGATTGGATACGTAACAATAGCTCTATTGTTTCGTCCAACCAATAGGAAATTTGAATAGCCAGCGAAACAGATCGGGATATAGTGCCTTTAACTACTCCTCCGGACAAGCCTTTCTTGGTGAAATAAAACACTTCAATACGGGTCAAGGAACCAATGAAAATATTTCTAGCTTTTTATTTCGTCGACAAAATTCTAATTAGGAAACTCTTAATGATTTTCAGTTGTTTTATTTTAAACAGAGCATATATTGAAAACAGCTTATTGCAAACCGTTTTCTGTTTTTATTCTGGACCAATATCTTTTTAATAATCATTACTAAAACTATAATAATTATCATTATGTTTATTTCATTGTTCCTAACGCTTGTAATAGCTTTTTTGCAATGTCTGACTACTTAATTGCGATTAGCTAATTGCTAATTACAATTGCAATTGATAATGAAATGACTTCACTATTTACGAATAAGCAAAGCTTCTGAAATATGAACGTGTTTGTAATTTCAAACTTCTTTTTCCACCCAGTCAGATCGCTTTCAAGAAGATTTATACCCTTTAACGCAAGGCGATATTCCATCTCTTGAGGCCGAGGAATGGCTAAGTGGAAAAAACGCGGAACCAATTCTTATTTCCCTGAAGGAAGGGTATCAGCCAACAGAAAAACAATTCGTGGCTGTCAAAAAACAAAGCAACCTCGATATCATCGAAATGTGTCCTCAGAAAGAGCCACCAAGTAACGAAAAAGAGGTAATTCTTTAAGTTTTCATAGAGTATATAGAAGTGGGAATGAGTGGGTGGAGGAACTGCCATTTCTTATGAGATATGCCCAGATTCTTACCTCATAAAAATATTGTAATTTGGCCCTAGTTTTTAAACTTACAAAGGACAACATTTCTAGGTGATCTGTTATTTAGATGTTCTTTACAGTGCATTTTCTGCTTTTCAGTTCAAAATCGAAAACTTTCTAAATCGAATTTAAGCAATGTCGTCGCTTTGCCACTCTGTCTAATCTTTGTTGAAATTCGGCTCTCTCCACTGACAAAATCACTTTTTGGCGCAAAAAGAACCATTGTATTAATGGGCAAAGGAATTGAAAATGCTTCAACTAAGTAAAAATTGAACAAAAGTTATTTTGAATCCGTTTAGCACATTATATGAACTTTATAACCGATTACAAAGGATATTTAAAAATAAGGTCTTCAGCCTTCAGGAGCTATAAAATATCTTATGTCCTGTTAACTGTGTGACTGTTGTACAAGCCATTTTGTTCATCTTGTAGCTTCGAAAAGCATTCTATGAACACGAGGATGAGATTCGACGATTGAAAGAGCTCCTTCAAGCTAAAGATTTACGAATCCAACAACTGGAAAGACAGCTTTCTGACGAAATACACTAACACAGAGAATCAACAACAAACGATTTCACTGTCTGATAACTACTAAAGTCTTGAGAGCTTTGCGATATAATGCTGGAATAGGCCAAAAGAAGCTCGTCTTGTCGTAATAAAGCTGTGTAAAAAATGCATTTCTAGGTTCTAACTGTTATTAACTCATCATGATGACGTAAAAACTTTAGTATTTTCGTAACAAAATCTGTAATCTTTTCAAACAAAGTTTTAAATTTTGATTAATGCCTTATAAACTTTAGTTAGTACAATAGATTTAATGCGATGCATGTTAATATAATATCAGAGCTCTTTGTTTGATACAATTTGATATTGAAGGCAACATTAGATGATTCTAAAAAAATTGTTCTTTGAATGTTTTAGTTTCTGTGTCTGAGCTCCTAAGAGCAGAGTTTACACGAGAAGAGAAAGTTTACAAAGGTCACCAACCTTTCATGACCTTTGACTTGAACTTTGACCTTTGAACTACACAATTCGACTGGTAGCCTAATGAATAAAGGCACTTGAAAATCAAATATTTAATAGCGAAAGAGAATATTCTGGTCTTTTTATGCAGTTTTAAATACAACCTTTGAAAGGACCCTTGACAAGACTTTCGACATGAACTTTGACCTTCGAACCTTTGAAAGAATTTTAGAGGTGGCCTTTGAAATTAGCAATGACACTTGGCAGTCAAATGAATTAAAAAGGGAGACAAAATCTCCTTGTAGAATGCCAGACGAAACTAATTACGGCCTCTCGCGAACTTTCATATATGACCTTTGACATAAACTTTGACCTTCGAACCAAACAGTTCTAGAAATGGCCTTTGAAATTAACAATGACACTTGGCAGTCAAATGTTTTAAAAGGAGAGACAAAAGCTCCTTGTAGAATGCCAGGCGAAACTGGTCACGGCCTGCAGATATGACCTTTGACTTGAACTTTGACTTAAGAAACTATGAACTTTCAAATGATGGACTTTGCAATGAACATCGACAATTGAAGGTCAAATATTAAAAAACCAGGGACTAAATTCAAGACACAAAGAAAGCAAGATACAAAAAATGTTTGACCTCAAATCAAAGTATAAATATTTTAACTTGCTACACACTTCGGTATTTCAAAAATTCAGTATACTTCTTTTCGATATCAAGTAACACAATAAAAATGGTCAATACCGATTTCAGTCAGTGTAACCTAATCATATAATATTTTAAACGATTAATAATAAACAGCAAAATCTCTTTTAGCAATTAAAAACATAACAGCAAAGCAGGGTAGGGTGCGTTAGGTTCTGTGAACGTAAATTTTTTCTTCCTTTATTCCTTATAAATATTCGCTTTCAGCTTCTCAAATTTCAGCTCACCTAACTTGTCTTACTGAGGATAAATTTGTTTTTGTAAGGTTTTACGTTTCATCACCTGTATACTCATAAAAAATTTGCAAGTGACTCTGATTAGCGTAATTCTGAAAAGACGTTTCTGATTGGTCGCTTATAGACAGTTGATTGACAGTCTTGTCATTTTTTAGGCAACTATTTTGATACTATATGGTGGCCTGGCGAGTGGTAGGAAGACTTAAATTCCTTGCGCTCTTAGGCTATCGAAATTTGAACCTAGGCCTTAGAAATCTATTGATATTTAAGGCCTTGGCACTAGGCCCTAGAATCGCATGCGACATTTAAGGTCCTGGCCCTAGGCCCAAAAATTCCCTGTGACATTTACGGTCGTGGAAGGTCAACTGGCCTAGGTATTATTATGAACAGGGTATACAAGAAAACGAGAATTTAAGGACTTCATAAAATATCGCATGGATTATAATGGGCAAACAATTCTAGTAAAAAAGGCTTTTGGCAAGCATTGTACCAATCCGGCCCTATGGTTGTTGCAGCTGCGTATAGCGAGAAATCACACATTAGAACAACTATAGCGAACTTTTGGGTTAAGGATTCCACGTGACGCTGTTTACGATGTGTCTAGGCCCTACCCTGCTTTGCAATCATTCATGAACCTACACAGAAAAAACAAGAGTCATTCACAACCTCCAATCAACACAACAACAACATTTTCAACTGAAGAAAATCTCAGCCTCATTCCGACGTCCAATTACGTCACCACTTTCCGAGACCTGTAGGATGCGCATTGTATTTGTTGTATGGGAGCCTGGGGACCAGCCAACGACGAAGACAATGAATGAGCCATTTCTTATGAAACCCATGTCTTTGCCCTTGGTAACAGCATACACCAAACGAGCGTTGACGTCATCTGACCAGTTGTTCTGTCGAGGCTCGTCATAGTAGAGCGGGAAAAGGCCACGTGACAAATGAGCCTGTCTACAGACTCTTTTATTCCTTGTGATGAGGATAATTGGGCACCGCGGGCGATAATGCGAGAGAATACGAGCAGTTCTGCGAGAAAAGCGCGAGAAAAACCGTGAATGTTAATTCTATGACAAAAACTGCAGAAACAAGTTATCTTGTTTATATATGCTGCCTCTTGATATGAAAAAAAAGAACGCTTGGACATTGTCTGTTGCGACGCCAGGCTCCTTCAAGGTTACAAATTATTTTTGATATGCCACTGGCTTTTATTCTTAATTTTGTCCTTTTTGGGCTTCTTAGGTTTTGACTATCTACTAAAGTTCTTTGTGATAAGAAAATTTTCCGGACATGGGCTCACTCCGCAGTCACCTGAAATTTACTGTTTAATAAAGCCCTGTATACAGCCAAACTTTGCCCATTGTCACAACTTTTCAAGCAACGTTTGGTGTGACTACAACCGGAGATTACTACATTGAGAAAACGCATACTGAAAAACTGGGTGTCTGATGGCGGTAACGATTTATTTATTTCTTATGGGAGGGGGCCATTGGGGGCCACTGGGGGCCATCTCCGTCTTCCTAATTCTGGAGCAAACATAAAACGTAGTGGTCACAGGGAGAGCGTTATTGGTGTGTGACAAAAAACAGGAAAACGTGGATAAAGGATATGGAACAATTTACTGTGTGATGGAGGCATATACAAGAAAGTGCCAAAATGAACATACCGTCCGCTTGTAGAAAATGCGATGATGGTAGCAGCATTGACCTTGAACGATGCACTAACTGATGCAATGCAGGTTGTTTCTGTGGCATCCGTCAGTGTCTTGGCATTCTTTAGATTATCATACAAAGCACGGTGGAATATTGCGGCCTCTGCTTCTCTGCAAATCTGGAGATATGAAACGATTTGTTAGATATTTTCGATATTGCAGTTAATATATGGCATTAACTAGCTTCTACGTAGCTATTAGATTTATCAATGTTGGAAGACGCAATTGTGACGTCATTGTAGACACAAACGTTTACGCATCAGTAGACACAGAAGTAGACGTATTAGCAGACGTAAACACTGACGTGTTGGTAGACGCAAACTTTGACATGACAGACGCAAACGCCGATGTATTAGGAGACGCAAACGCTGACATATTGGTAGATACAAACGTTGAAATCATAGAAGGTAAACAACAATGATGCATTGGCAGACGCAAATGCTGACGTCATAGTAGACGCAAATGCTAACGCACTAGTAGACGCAAACGCTGACACATCAGTGGATGCAAACGTTGACATATTAGTGGACGAAAACGCTGACATCATAGTAGATAGATAGACACGCAAATGCTGACGTCATAGTAGACGCAAACGCTGACACACTGGTAGACGCAAACGCTGACGCACTAGTAGACACAAACGCTGACATCATCCTGGATACAAAAGATGATGTAATGGCAGACGCAAACGCTGATGCTATAGAAGATACAACTGTGATGAAATAGCAGACGCAAATGCTGACGTCATAGTAGACGCAAACGCTGACACACTGGTAGACGCAAACGCTGACGCACTAGTAGAAACAAACGCTGACATCATCCTGGATACAAAAGATGATGTAATGGCAGACGCAAACGCTGATGCTACAGAAGATACAACTGTGATGAAATAGCGGACGCAAATGCTGACGTATTGCTAGACATATATTTACTGGTAAATGTATACGCTGACAGGGCAGCAAACGAATCTTTATCCTACCTTGTGCATAGTCAAAACTGCTTGTGATGGGTAGGCTCCTTTTGCAGTCTCCCCGGATAACATGACACAATCGACGCCATCCAGTACAGCATTAGCTACATCTGAGGCTTCTGCTCTAGTTGGACGGGGGTTCTCTGTCATCGATTCTAACATCTTTAAAAAAGAAAGGAATGTTATCAGGTATTGGATTATGGCTTCGACATGGGTTATAACAATTCGACCTTATGTGTCCAGATGAACAGGTTATGTTCACTAGATAAACAGGTTATGTGTACCGGATTAACAGGTTATTTACCTGGGTTGCACAGATAACCGGTTTGGCTGCCATATTGCATCTTGCTATTATCATCTTCTGAGCAAGGAAGACCTTCTCAAGGGGAATCTCCATACCCATATCACCCCTAGCAACCATGACGCCATCAGTTTCCATGAGGATCTCATCGATATTGATGATTCCCTCGTGGTTTTCGATCTTAGCAATGATTTTAATGTCTTTTCCCTTCTCACCAAGGACTTTTCGCACATCTCTGATATCTTGGGCTTTGCGAATGAAGGAAGCGAAGATCATATCGACCTGAAAAGAAAATGAAGGAAAATTTCGTACTTATTCACCGAGTTCACTTATTTCCTATAAATTAAAGGCACTGTATCCTGTCAGTCAATTGTCCAATGTTAACAATAGGCTTTGCAGCGTGTTTAAAATCGAGAAAACATTGAAGATTAGCCGATTGGCTACGTAACAACAGGTCTTTTGTATAGTCTAGCCAATGGGAGTTTACATGGCCAGCGAAATGCGTCGGAACATAGTGCCATTAAAGCTCCGTAGCAATAGGTCTATTGAGCAAGATAACCCTTTTGGGCACAATACCCGTTTGGGCACCATACCCATTTGGGCACAATACCCATTTGGGCACAATACCCATTTGGGCACAATACCCCTTTGAGCAAGATACCCCTTTTGGCAAGATACCCCTTTTGGGCACAATACCCCCATTGTGCAGGATACAGCTGTTTGGCATAACACCCCCTTTGGGCAAGATACCCCTTTTGGTCACAATACCCTCATTGGGTGGGATACAGCTGTTTGGCATAACACCCCTTTTGGGCACAATACCTATTTGGGCACAATACCCTTCAGGGCAAGATACCCCTTTGGGTACAATACCCATTTGGGCACAATACCCCTTTGAGCAAGATACCCCTTTTGGCAAGATACCCCTTTTGGGCACAATACCCCCATTGTGCAGGATACAGCTGTTTGGCATAACACCCCCTTTGGGCAAGATACCCCTTTTGGTCACAATACCCTCATTGGGTGGGATACAGCTGTTTGGCATAACACCCCTTTTGGGCACAATACCTATTTGGGCACAATACCCTTCAGGGCAAGATACCCCTTTGGGTACAATACCCATTTGGGCACAATACCCCTTTGAGCAAGATACCCCTTTTGGCAAGATACCCCTTTTGGGCACAATACCCCCATTGTGCAGGATACAGCTGTTTGGCATGACACTCCCTTTGGGTACAATACCCATTTGAGCAAGAGACCAAATAATTGCAACATCGTTTAAATCCTATCGCCCCCCCTCTTAAATGAAATTCTATCTTCCTACGGCACTGTATCAATAGCCCCTGTTTCTTACCTCATTTTCAACACCAAACTGCAAATCCTGGACGTCCTTCTCTGAAACAGCCGGCAGATCAATAATAGCCCCCGGCAAGTTACAGTTTTTCCTTGAACTAATCGCTGCATCATTAAGAATTTTAGTCATCACGTGATCATCTAATACATCCGTTACTTCAAGTGACAATAGGCCATCGGCTATGAAAATCTTACTCCCTTTCTTGACAGACTTTGCCAAACCTTTGTAATCAACATACAGTAAGTTCTCGTCGCATTGCTCCCTCAGGCTGAGGTCAGTTGTCACTCTCAGTGCTGCGCCTTTCTTGTAAGTTGTTTCACTGTCCTAAGAAACAAGACATGCTCGTTATACTGAGTTCAGGAATAAACGGGGGGCGGGAGGAGGGTTGCAATAAACGTGGAAGGAATAAACAGGGGCAGGGTTGCCATGTCTTGAAAGTGGCCGAAGCCAAATCATGCCAGACAAAAATCCAAAATAAGCTATGAGAACCTGGTTAAAGTTACGCATGGTAATTAGTAGTAACTCCTAGTAACTCATAGCTAACCTATAAGTAACTCATAGTTAACCTTACAAAAAAGTTTTTGTCCCATAATTCTAAGGATAGTTCCAGCCTTCATGGTGCCTGTTATGATTTCAGATCCCTTTTTTGACTAGTATGGTAATCAGTAGTTGCTGGTGACCAGTATGATAGTAATTTGTAGAAACGTATAGTAACTCATAGCAAACCTATAAGTAACTCATAGTCAACCTTACAAAAAAGTTTTTGTCCCATAATTCTAAGGATAGTTCCAGCCTTCATGGTGCCTGTTGTGATTTCAGATCCCTTTTCTGACTACTATGGTAATCAGTAGTTGCTGGTGACCAGTATGATAGTAATTAGTAGTAACTCCTAGTAACTCATAGCAAACCTATAAGTAACTCATAGTTAACCTTACAAAAAAGTTTTTGTCCCATAATTCTAAGGATAGTTCCAGCCTTCATGGTGCCTGTTGTGATTTCAGATCCCTCTTCTGACTACTTTGGTAATCAGTAGTTGCTGGTGACCAGTATGATAGTAATTAGTAGTAACTCCTAGTAACTCATAGCAAACCTATAAGTAACTCATAGTTAACCTTACAAAAAAGTTTTTGTCCCATAATTCTAAGGATAGTTCCAGCCTTCATGGTGCCTGTTGTGATTTCAGATCCCTCTTCTGACTACTTTGGTAATCAGTAGTTGCTGGTGACCAGTATGATAGTAATTAGTAGTAACTCCTAGTAACTCATAGCAAACCTATAAGTAACTCATAGTTAACCTTACAAAAAAGTTTTTGTCCCATAATTCTAAAGATAGTTCCAGCCTTCATGGTGCTTGTTGTGATTTCAGATCCCTTTTCTGACTACTATGGTAATCAGTAGTTGCTGGTGACCAGTATGATAGTAATTTGTAGTAACGTATAGTAACTCATAGCAAACCTATAAGTAACTCATAGTTAACCTTACAAAAAAGTTTTTGTCCCATAATTCTGAGGATAGTTCCAGCCTTCATGGTGCCTGTTGTGATTTCAGATCCCTCTTCTGACTACTTTGGTAATCAGTAGTTGCTGGTGACCAGTATGATAGTAATTAGTAGTAACTCCTAGTAACTCATAGCAAACCTATAAGTAACTCATAGTTAACCTTACAAAAAAGTTTTTGTCCCATAATTCTAAAGATAGTTCCAGCCTTCATGGTGCTTGTTGTGATTTCAGATCCCTTTTCTGACTACTATGGTAATCAGTAGTTGCTGGTGACCAGTATGATAGTAATTAGTAGTAACTCCTAGTAACTCATAGCAAACCTATAAGTAACTTATAGTTAACCATACAAAAAAGTTTTTGTCCCATAATTGTAAGGATACTTACAGTTCCAGCCTTCATAATGCCGGTTCTGATTTCAGGCCCCTTGGTGTCCAGAGCAATTGCTACAGGATGGGGATGCTCAACTTTTGCTGCCTCCCTGACATTGTCAATTGTCTTCTTATGATACTATAACAAAAAAAATTAATGTCATTAATGAAAAAATTGTTCTCAAAACTATATAAAAAATGACAAATATAAAAAATTTTAAATATCTAACAGAACACCTAAAAGAGATATGAATCCTTATCTAGAAGTCTGCAACACAATGCTAAGTTAGTTATGTTATGCAACAAAATGCAATACTTATACTGTGAAGAGGAACACCCGGTTAATCCTTCAATAGTGCCGAGACCTCAATGTCGGACTATGTAATTATAAGTCAATTGTTCACGCTTGATGTTAGATATGGACAAGTTATAAGGTTCTGTTCCTGTTTTTAAAAAATTGTGAAAACCCAAGATGGTGTCTGCTTTGAATGTCTTTACCCAGATTCTTCCAAACAATTTATACTGTGATTTATGATAAGGCTACCCTAATAGATCAGAACAATACATATCAACATAAAATAATATATAATAAAGAACAATATCTAATAAAGATTATTGACATTATCTATCAAGCTTGCTGCTAATGAAAATTACTGTTTTACACAACATTTAAATAATATTTGATGCTATAAAGAAAGAGCTTAGGTGCCATAGACAACTTTGAAACTTGCAGACAAATTGCTATTTTAAATAGATTGCTTGAAAAATAACCTCATGTGTTCCATGTGAAAAATTCATCCTTGCAATGTTCATCCCACTATAGATCATCTCTTTGAGCTTATCAACATCTTGGCATGCTGGACCTAGATGAATGATGCAAAAACAAGCTATTTAAATTCAGTTGAACACACAGAGTTGGAGCTGAAAAGCGGTCATGGAAATGATAAAACTTCCACGAGTCATTCCATGTAAAATCATCCACAATTTCTTAAATCTGTAACCATTATGCCTTCAGAATGCAAGAAACTTTTGTGTGCGAATAGTTCTCATTGAAATAGACATAATTCCAAAATTTCAGCCTCCGTAAAGATCCTGAAGGATAAACCAACTTAAGATCTTACACAGGATCTTACCAAAAATCTTACGGGATTCTAAAACATGATCTTGAATAGGATCTTGCTAGGATCCAGACTGACATTATAGGATCTTACAAGAACTAGATTAGGATCTTACACAGGTAAATAACAAATGGAAAAATTGATCCTATGTCTATTTTAGTCCTCAAATAATCAAAGACAATGACATCAAATTTATATGATCCAACATGGCTTAATACTTAACTGGGGTAGTACAAATTTTGTCAATGAGTAAGTCAGAGATTCAATTAATTTGAGTTCGAAGGTCTGTAATAGCTGTCCACAGAATTCATTCATCTGTCAAAAAATTTCTTTTTCACAACATACTTTTAAACAGTAGTGGCGCCACAGGAGGGACTGGGGGGGACATGTCCCCCCCCCAGTTCTCGGCAGGATCAATTTTGCATTTCGTCTAAATCCGATGAGAAAATTTTTTTGGGGAGGGGTAATATTTTGGCAATTTACTTTTTGTAATGTAATCCTATGATTTTAAAACTGCCTTTACATAGCCAAAAGTGAGTAATGGGCGTTCACTTCAGGTAAAAATTGCATTCCTTGTTAGTAAAAGGGCATTTTCTGGTGCTAAAATGGGCGTGGTCTAAAATCTTTTGTTTTGTTCCTCCCCAGAGCATAGTGGCTGGCACCGCCATTGCTTTTAAAGAAATTTTGGCAATGAGTAAGTCAGAGATTTAATTAATTTGCTTGGGAAGGGCTGTCATAGCTGATCACGGAAATCTTTTCTACATAAATCTGAAAATTTATTTTTTACAATATCTTTTGTAAACAGGTAACTTACCAATGGTGCAAATGATGCCTGTTCCCCTAACAACAGGAGGCACTGTATCTATATTAAGACCACAACAGAATTCAAGATGATTGCGTGCATGTGTGGCATTGAGCAATGCATCACGGGCAACCATGTCCTCATTGTACTCAAATCTTGCTACTTTTCCAGACATCTTGTTCGATCTTCTGGAAGCTAGCTGCATAAGAAAAGAGAATTGAAAAGAATCTTTTAAACAGATTTCAATAGTTTGCACACATGAAATCCTTAATCATTCTTCAGGTCCTCTGCACTTTGTGATGGTGCTGCGATGGCTCCCCTGTGTAACTGGTAAAAGAGTGAGTAAGCAGGAAAATAATGGACCAGAGCATGGCTCGAACTCACAACCTCTGACTTTGTACCTCAAGTGCTCTACTGCTGAGCTATTGGGTCATGCTTTCAAGTCATCACCCAAGGCCAAGCCGTTCGCCCGCATTTGGCCTTGGATGCAGTGGCGTAGCGTCCGGGTATTCAAGGTATTCAGTGAATACCCTGAGATTTCTCAGAAAAAATATTAATACGACATATAATTGTAATAACTAAAAAATGTTTTGGGGCTATTGATTCTGGTTGAATTCGTTGCCTTCGATATTCTACATTTTGTATAAGTACAAAATATCACGAAATTCATGGAAACAATAACGCTGCGAAGCATAGAGAAGCTGGGAGAACTTTGAAGCTAATTTTGAAGATTGAGTTACTTCATGTTGAATAGAGATCGGTCATGAATACGCAGTGAATACCCTAGACGGTACTTTAACCAATCAAAATGCTCCTTTCCATGAATAATATTTGCCGTTAATCAGCTAAAACAATGGTCTTGTACGCTGAGAAATATGCAGCGTACAGCCTCAAAGTTGGTTCAAAAAAGTCTCGTTTTGAGATCGATGTAAACAGTTAATGGACGTCGGAGCTGTTGGAGTGGTGGATCTTCATCGAAAACAGTAAACATGACTTCATTCAAAGCTATTGCAGTGTCCGTATTACTGTTTAATAATCATTCTCTCATTTGACCCCTAATCTTAACCTACCAACAGCAAAGTGGAAAGGAAAGGTAGGCTTCTACATAATGCTATGCTAACTCAGATCTGTGCCTCTTGAAATGCCAATTTTGTTATTGCTTGTCAATCAGGGATGCTTCTGTTTGTATTATGTGATAGAATTAAAGTGAATGCAGATAGGCCTGGATAATATCCTTATAGTTGCCTGGTGTATTCAGTTATATTGTTGGCCTATTTTGTTTGCATTATTCGAGCGCATTTAGTTGCATTATTGTGCAGTCTCGTCTCATTACCTTCGATTCTTTCAATCAACTTGTATTGAAAATATCACGACTAAGCCATGAAGAAAAAGTCTAGACTGCATCCACTGCATACCACAAACTATTTATAACTCGTGTAATGCCCTATGTGAATAACTTTCGAAAGCCCTTTTGTATTAAGGTATCAAGAGAAGGTGTTTACAGTTACTTCCTCTTTAAATCAGTGCAAATTTTAGAGGATTCAACAACAACTATTGGGACATATTTCGACCAGCAAAATTTTACTGACTTTCAATGATACGTTTTGATTTGAATTACTTTTGATGAAATGGTTAGTGGTATTTTGATGCAATGAATGAGTTCGAAGAGTATATTTGCGTTGAGTTTTTTAGCAAAGTATTGTTTTCATCATAGTAATGCCCTGACAGTGCAGTACTTGCCAACCGAACCAGAAAGAAAATTAGATAAATTGTCAATAGCTAGTCCTTTTAATCCTTCTATTATCCCTCCTATTTCCAGCAAGCCACACCCTGCCCCACCCTTTTGTTTAATAGAGAATACCTAGTTGAAAAAGTCACGCTACGCCACTGCTTGGATGATCATGTGTTAGAGCTTCGCCCAGGTCAGTAATTTTCCCGCATTCTCTGCTAATTATCTTCTGAAATCCTGTTGCCTATGTCATTTATGATACAGTTAAATACAATTCTAAACAATTACAATAAAATCAATAGCTACCTCAGGCTACAGAGTAATACTTAAGATAGATACCAGATGAAAGTAATTAAAATTGCATCCAAGTCCACCCCTCTTGATGTTTCACCTAAGCAACACCCACTTGATGCTCCTGTCTAATTGGATGTTGCAAACATTGGCAACATTGGTATGGATAGGTTAGACAATTCGTGAAACGCAGATGCAAAACCCAGGGGTACTCCCATTAAGGTCTGGTTGATTTAAGGATCTTTTCAAATGGCTACCGAATGATCAAATTTTGATAATAACACAAGCACTTGGAAGTTGTTTAAGTGGTTGCTTTGCAATTTATGATAGCAATCAAACATGATTGTTATCTTTCCTGAATCAACAACAGTCAATGGCGAAGAAATTTGTCAAAGAAGGACCAGAGGAGTACAAAGAAATGGATGCTATCAAGGACATAAGTTCAGTTCTTATGCTACCCTTTGAGGGCCATTGTCAAAAAAGACTATCATTTGCAGGTGATTTTTTAACATTTAAGCCTTGGCTCTCTTTGACCCCTTTTAGGCCATGGCCTGTTAGTAGGATTAATACTTTGTTTATCACTCTACTGTTGTAATTGCACATGTGCACTGTAAATAGTATAAAAAGTCTTGTTATCGTAATTAAGGGGGAGTAGATGAGTTGTTGATGAATGATAATCTTGTAATGATATTTGTGTGTTAATAATAGGGTGAAAATTACAAAGTTGAGTTTCCCTTAGCGTGAAACTGAATAAAACATAAAGCTCTACCACAAATAATGGGAGTCCCCTCGGATGCAAAGTGACTCAAAAATACAATCTATGCTTAGTCTTAATTCAATGGTATAAGCTGAAAAAGGGGTGGATCTGCTAAATACCAAATCTTCTTTTGTGACAACAATACTAGCCCTAAAAAGAGCAGGAGACATTCTTTCTTTTATTTGTGCTTTTGCCAATTTATTTTATTCAATATTCCTAGACATTTTCAAAATTTTAACTCCTTGACTGCACTACTGTGTTTTTAACCAATTTTATTTCCACGCCAGGTAGATGTTTCTTAACCAGCAAAAATAGCAAAAGGAAATATGAACAAGCAAGCAAAAATATGTGCAAAAAAGGATAAATTATTTTGCAGCATAAGGACAAATAATACATTTTGAATAAACTGTAGGCTAGCAAATGGATGTAATAACTGAGGATCTTTTGAGGCCTTTTGCAATTCTAGTGCAGGGTCGCGAGAAAAAATTAGATTTCACATCACAAAAATTTTAATTAGCAAACCACGCGTTTATTTTGAAATACCCGCAACACTAGAATCAGCAAATTAGCACAATATCAGGAGAAATAGAGCTTTTCTCTAGCTTTTTCTGTTTCCACTGACCATCTAGTTTAATTTTGATTATGTTAACAGTTTTAGGGAGCATGTTTGGAGAGCAAGAAATTTTTTCAGAAAAATTTCAGAAACTCATTCCTTACAAGAAAACCTTTAGCTTCACTGAAATTGAAAAGCATTTTACCATAATTTAAGTAGGAGATATCAAGGGCACTATTCACTGTTTGTTTCATAGCATAATTCAACATCCAATCCATTTTTCTTTTCGACAACTTGAAAGGCCCATGACCCATGGACCCCAAAAGCGGCCTAATTCGAAGGCTGGGCCGTTTTTCCACAGCTGTTCCTAATCTGCTGCATTTTTTTATATTTCAAGACAAGTACTTTAACAAATCATATTCATAGGTGGTGAAAATATAGATAAATAAAGAAGGAAATTAGATACTTACCTCAAAATTGATAATTTCTGGTCAGTCACATGCAACTCAAACAATCCTCCCAAACAATCAGAGTCAACTAACAAATCCTCCGCAGAGCTACAGATGCGCTCCGCAATAACTGGAAATGCTTCTGGGTCGGGAGGGGTTGGGGAAGAGGAAAATTTGTTTGAACCCTAGACATTTTTTGTGACGGTAATTTCAAGAGCATATCATACCTCAAAGAAAATGTCAATAAGACAATTCACTTCGTATAATTTACTCATGTTGAAGGCGTAAAGATAGTTTTTCTAGAAAAAGTGGCTTAACTTTTATTATGATGCCAAAATCAGATGGGCAGAGTCCACTTCCGTGTGAATTACAAGTTTGAGGCTTTTAATGTCGTTAGGCTTCAGATGTCACTTCAGTCACACAAGAAAAGTTCCAGAGTTTTACAAAGATCATAAGTTGATCCATTTGACCCAGTCTGCAACATGTATCAAGGCCTCCGACGAAAGGGGGCAGCATAAGGGGCTAAAAGCCGCAAATCGAGCCGTTAACGAACCGCTCAAAGTTTAACCAAAGACCGCCGTCTGCGTCGCGTCAAATAAGAGTCTCTTGTTGCTTGTTGTTTCGAGGCTGCAGTGTCATGAATTTTTACAGAGATGTAGCTAAATTATGGCGTTGCCAACCTTTGAATGTGGTTATTGCAAGGCTCCAGCTTTTTGGCAAGGATTCTTTGAGAGACTGGTGACGAAATTGGTTGAAGAGCATGGGATCCGACACAGGTTGCGCCAAGATAAAGTGGGGGGCCAAGATTAAATTTATCATCAATGACAAAAGGTTTTGTAAAATGCTCTATTGTTTTCTAAAAAGTGGATGGAGGCCTTCGTCGGAGGCCCTGGTGAGTAAAAGTGGGGGAATCCGGACCCCCCTATTCCCCCTCTTGGGTACGCTACTGGATCTGAGCGAAACTAAGTAGTTTTTTTACAGCGTTTCCAACAAAATTTTAAGAAATCTGTTTGTTTCATGACTGTAAATTTGCCAGAAGTTGAGGAAATATAAATCCAACGAAAGCTTTGCGTTGCTAACTATATATTGCTGTGATATTTGCCAGGATGTCGGCTGAGGATGGGAGCTTAATCAATTTTTACTTCTAGGATAGAAAAAAAATGAGGGGAGGAGCACTTTTACAAGTATCAGGCAATTTGGAGATTCACGGTTCTATTTCAGGAATAGGGGGTCCTCAACCTTATGAAAATCCAACTTTTACTAACAACGCCGCCTCAAGCATTTATGGAAAAGTGCCTTATTTCGAGAAAAGTGCTTCTTTTTCTGAAAGATTGTACCCCTTTCTGAAACTGTCCCCCTTTAGATGTGCCCCTGTAGCGTGGAAATGCTTTGAAATCTGTGCATATTTCAATAACCATATTTAGTTTAAACTTTATTTTGATAGTAAATTCCCCGTTTCAAGAACCTGTAGAATACACAATAAAAAGTAATAAAGTTTTTTGAAGAGCCTCTCTAGAGAATTTTTGAAACGCATTTTAAATTATCTTGAGACCATCCAAAAAGTTGGACCATATTCCTTTGGGCACTTTTCGTTTGGCTCATTTTCTTTGAATTCACCAACTAGCATTCTATCAACATACACAAGAGACCTTCAGAAAGGCATTACTCCCAGTCTCTTGATACCTTTCCATCATGTTTATACTTAATCACAATGTTATTTCAAAACCCATACAAGAAATGTTGGGGCCTTTACTGGCTAGCGAGGGCTTTTATGAAGCAGACAAAATCGGAAAGGAATGAACTAATGGCTGCACCTGAGACTGAAACGATTATTTTCCATGTCTACGCCGTTCTCAAGACCTATTTAAGAGTTATTGAAGTTTGTACAACCCAGTGTTACTAGACTTAACGAGGGGATATCGGAGAGCACATGAAAAGCTTTGGTGAAAGCCCTTGAAACACGGATGAAGCATGGCCACTCTTATATTCGAGAGTGAGTTGCTTGTACTCAGGCCAGAATTACAATATCAAGCCCCTGAAATGCTAAACCAAAAGCGAGAACAACAAAACACAAAGGTGAGACATGTTAGCATTTCATCTTACTGTTTTAAAGAACCGTTGGTGACCAGTGTGAGAACAGGAGCGACGGACAACGCTGTTATTGCTATTTTTTAATAGCTATTCTTTTTAAGGCCACTTCTTGTGTAATGCAAAAAAGAAACAAACACGAAAATTTTGTGCGAATAATCTAGCTTTAGTTCTATAGTTGTAATTGTCGCATTCAGTCATTCTAAAAGTGCTGCAGCAAAACTTTCCACAAAAGCAGTGCCGTAGGATTAAAATTTACGTTGCATCGGGGGTGGGCGACCGTCCATTGTATTGCTTCCCATTCGGTACACTGTTATAAAGGAAATATAGAAGAGTTTGACAATTATGGTGGGGTTCCTGCCCCCTTGCTTTCGACAGCCATGAAATGCCAATATATCATGACACGATAAAAGCTCCATTCGTCGGCCACAGGACGGGGGCGTTGATTTCTTGCAATATATAGAGCATAAAGGCTCTAATATTTATCTTTTGAAAATTCGGAGGGTTCAAGCTCTTTAGCTCCTCCCGCTATCTCGACCCTTGCATAAAGGACTACAATATTCTAGAATACTTAAATAATAATACTTCTTTAATAATTTTTCAATATAGCGAGAAGGCCAATTAATGTCAACCATTTAATTACATACAGTCAAGGGCCGAGGTAGATTTCGAGATGTAGGGGG